TGTGCTGGAAATTGAAACTCAGGACCTTGCACTTGCCAGGAAGGCACTTGTGCCACTGAGGTAGATCTCCAACCCCTGTATTTATATTTTAAAACAGGCATTGGGTTTGGCAGTTTATTTGAAAATGTGACTCTTTCCAAGGTCAGACATCCTTAACGCTTTTCACTCTGCCTAGAACTTTTGCTTTGATATGAATAACTTTCTTAGGCATGTGACTTGGCTCATTCTTATTTTCAGGCCCTTGTGTGAGCAGCCTTCTTGGAATGTCCTGATGCTTCCCTGCTCAACTCCATATTCCTTTAAAATTGTTCACCATTCACATGGTCCAGGAGTTGGCAGAAAGGAATCCCTTACAGTTTCTCTCGGGGAGCTGTAGTAGTCCCCATTTTGGCATGTATTCTTGGTATAATTTCCAATACCTTTCCCATATTTTTAGATTTTTCTTTCCTTTCAGATAAGACTCTAAAATTTTATTGCTTAAGGTGGTATTGAGGACATAGGATGACAAATGGTGTCAGTAGCTCAAAATAACACATTTTGTGGCCGATTTTAAATAGGTAGCCTGTTCTTTAGGTTTTTAGCTTTGTGTTTGTATTTCACAACCCTCTTCACTTAGCGGGAGATGGTACCCGCTGGCTTCCAGATTTGGAAATCTCTAGAAGTAATAGTACATTAGGGTGTGATGAGAGATGGCAGTAGGATAGAGGAGAGCAAGGGAGGGAGAAAGGATGCCTCAGAAAAATCTACTAATCGCAACTATTTCATATTATAAGAAAAAAAGAAGCCAATGAAATAACAAAACATTTCTGTTCTGCTTCTATTTTGGGCTGACTAAACTACTGTTGCTGCTAGGGGAAATTACAACATAACTATGCTTTTCTCCCAGCACTTATTCTAAACAATCCACTGGATTTGAGTCAAAATTGTAAACTGGCAACATGTTAAAAATAAAAACAGAAAAACAAACCTGGCATTTTCCTTAAGGATTGTGAGGGTGAACACAGGACAAGAGCCAGAAAGCAGAGTTGCTATAAAAATAACCAGTGCAAACATCCTTAAACTGATGTTCTCTATAAAAGTCTGATGGCTGTGAACTGCAAAGAGTGAAGTTGAGAATGGGGAAAGGAGCGGGGGAATCAAGCGGTGTCTGCTTATTGTCAGCTAGCTTTCATGTGAAAGTCATGGCAGGGTCAGCAACAAACTAGCCAGGTGGCAACTCCAGGCCACGCTGCCATAAATAAATAGTTATGTACTAATGTCACACAACCAGGGGTAGATGCAAAGCATATGGGAAGAAAACATTCTGATGTAAATATTCAGACGAAAATGATGGCTGCTGAATTTAGAAGCCACTGTTGCTCCTGGATTTTGAGAAAATAAGGCCACACAGCATTTTTTAAAATCTCAACTAAAAGAGTCTTTGAAATGTTGAATATTTCCTAAAAAAACAAAAACCAAAGTACCCTTAACCTTTGGCTGAGGAGAGTGTGACTATCTGATGTCGTAATTAAGCATTACTGAGAGGTGGCAAGACCAGACTCTGGAACCAAATTTCTAGAGTTTAATAGTTCGCTCTGGTACTGACTTGTGCTCACGACCTTTGGGAAGTACCTTAACCTCTTCATGCCTTAGTTTATTCACTCTGTACAAAAGAGAGGAGAGGGACGATAGTGGCCACAGAACCTGCATCACAGGAAGTTATGAGGATTCAGCCTTTACATGGACAGCCTGTAAAACAATACCTGGTAAACACCCTGTCCATTTTTATGAAGTAGCTTATTTGTTTTATATAGACTGTTTGCTAGACACTATGATAAGTACTTGTACTATTTTATTTAATCTTAAAAATCTGCTGTATGGATTAAAATTTAATTTTACAGACTCACTAATCGAAACTTTGAAGGATTAAGGAATTTATCCAAAGAGGCATATCTAAACCACACTTCCAACCCAGGCTTTATTCAGATGAAAAAATTTAAACCACTTTACATGTTCTCTAAGATCGAACCATTTTTTCATTCCTTTACTTAAAATGTTAAGATTTGAAGAAAAGTAACACAACACTTGGCCTTCTAAGAATCAAAGGGATTTTTTTAAAAAGGGATTAAAGGAGGGGTTGATTTTCCAATAAATTGCCTTAGGAGAGCTGAAATCCATTCGCACACGTAGAAAACCAAAGAATGACTGACTTAGTGATTCATTTTTCCAAACTTTTATTGGGCGTCCGTGTTCTTCTGAGAGCTAGCGGGAGAATGTGATTTCAGTCCTCGAGCATCTAAGTGCAGGGAGTGAAAGGACACTCTCTACTGTCGGTTGTCTGACGATGTGGGGTTTAAACTGAAGTCTGTTTCCCACTGAGGATAAATCTGCCTCCCACCAGGGCGGCGGGGTGCACAGGTCCCCGGCAGAAGCCCGCGCGTGCCCCTGCGGCGCCAGGTCCTCCGCGCGGCGGCTCCGCACGGCGGCCTGGGCTCGGCCGCGCCGCGCCGCGCGCCGGCAAACATTCAAATCTCGCGCTCAGGCAGAGGCTCTCGGGGGTTCACGCTGAAGGCTGGCTGGTTACCACGTGAGCCATGTCCCAGCGTGTGCGCCAGGCCTTCCCAGCTCCTAACAGCCGGGAGGAGGTGACCCCACGAGCACCTCTGGCTGACCCCGATGGGCGACGCCAGGGACAATGGCCCGCTGAGCCGCGGGCGCCCGCACCCTCCACCGCCGCGCGCCGCTACTTCCTGGTTGGCGTGCCCTTACCTGACATGGCGCCGAAGTGCCTCAGCCGGGCCCTCTGCGGCTGCTCAGTAAACTCCGGTAGGGCAATCCGCTGTACAGCCCGCCCCCGCCACGGCGGTGCCTGGGGAAGTGCTGGCCCGGCGTGTCTCCACCCCGCCTTGCAGGCAGGAGTGTGCTTCTGGGGGGATAAGGACAGGCTGAGGAAGACAGGGACCGAGACGTGCCTCTCTTTGCCCACCCTTCTCCTCCCTGCCTCAGAGCTGCTCCAGCCCCAGGGTGTTTTTTCCCTGTCCCTGTCACCACCGGTCCCTGGCCCAACATGATACTGACCAAAGCCCAGTACGACGAGATAGCCCAGTGCCTAGTGTCCGTACCGCCCACCAGGCAGAGCCTGAGGAAGCTGAAGCAGAGGTTCCCCAGGTAAGTGTCCCTCCTGCTCCCCCCACAGCCCTCGGCCCGCAGCAGCTGCCCCCGCCGCCCAGGCAGCCCTCGGAACCACGTGCCGCACACGAGCGTGGCGAGGAGCACGAGTTGAAGGGTTCGCAGGTCAAGAATGGTGGAGGAGCTTCCTTCCTGCGCCTGCTTTGCACACAGAACTCCTAGTGGCGGAGCTTCCTCAGGCCGTGCAGTTAAATTCAGGTCAACCCCTGTTCATGGAAAACTTACTGTATGTTCGGGTGATGGGTGCACATAGGTGTCCAGTGGTGACTTGACAGATACTGTGTTGGGGTGTTGGGTGGCAGGGTCTTCGCACAGTGAAAACAGGAGTTGTAGAGGCCCCTTTTCCCTTGGCCACTGGAAATAAACAAGGGAACACAGCGTACCGGGCCCACACGCTGTTGACTGTGGCGCACGGTGTAGGTAGACCACAGTTCAGTGCTTCCGGGGTCCTAGTCCAGGGAGAGAGACTAGAAGGGAATATTTCTCCCCAGATGTCTACACGTTCCAGGCGTATTTCATGTTTCTCTTCCCCCATCACTCCTTCTTTCCCCAGTAATTTGAGAATTATCCATTTTGCGAAGTAAAGACTTTAGGAATTAAATAGATTCCTCTCTTTAAAGATGTGAAGACTGAGACCGAAACATTACATGAATGTACAGTTCAAGACAACTGAGTTCTTGTGTTTATGCTGTGTTCAAAGTACAGAACGTTTGCATACGTCTTTTTCTCTGATTCAAAACTAAATTCAAACCTGTTCAGTTAGTTTCATGGCATTGAGCATGGTTATCCTTAGTGGAGAGCTATGATGTGCAACCCTTGACCAGAGACCTTACCATGGAAGTTACTAATCTATTTTTAAGGAAAGAGAAGCGTTTGGATACTAGACGTTAAAATACACAGTGAGGCTTAAGTGGAAGGTCTTTTAATTACCTCAGGTTTTTGGTGGACTAATCTGTAAACTGAAGGGGCCTTTCTCCAATATTATCCAAGTTTAATTTAGGGTAACATTTATCTCTTTATAGTCTTTAAGATGTTATCAGACTTCCCAACAAGGAACAGAATTGACAGATTGGAATTTAATTTTCTGTCATTCATTCTCGCTGGTTCTTTCATAAGCAGTAAAGTGGGTGAAAGTTGGACAGCCAAGGAAAACATTAGATTTTACCGGGCTCTTTTAGAATAGAGCATATATTTTTGGTATTCTGTTTTTACTGTGTACGTACATTATTACTTTGTAGTTTTGCATCCTTTTCTACTCTCTTCTTTTTCTTTTCTTTTCTTTCTTTCTTTCTTTCTTTCTTTCTTTCTTTCTTTCTTTCTTTCTTTCTTTCTTTCTTTCTTTTTCTTCCTTCCTTCCTTCCTTCCTTCCTTCCTTCCTTTCTTTTTTTTCTTTTCTTTTCGGTCTTAACCTCCCCAGTGGTCTTATCAGGGGCTTTAGAAAGGCTTCCTTCATGTGGGACACCATAGTCAGGCTTACTCTCTTATGCCCTTTACTTTCTTATTCGTGATAGGCTGAAATATTTTCCACTTCTTCCAAATACAGTACCATTCAGGGAATAATTCTCTTTCTACAGGAAACATTATTTAGAGCCCAAACTAATTTACAGAAGAAGGAATAAAAGAAACTATTGAGTAGGTTGGGTCAGAATTATATAGATAGTTTTGGAGTTGCACAGTTTTCATGATACCACTGTTTACTTTGTATGAATGTTGCAAAGGTTTTGAACAGCTCTGAGATGCAGTAGTTCATTTTGTCAGAGTTAGATAAGGACCTCTGAGATAATTTCTGGTAGTTCAGAGAGGTTAAATGACATCCAAAATCCCAGAGATGTTCAATGAGCAAACAATGTCTAGAATATGATTTTTTCCCCCTTTTAGTGCAGAGTTCTATACTATGCTGCCTTAATTAGTTTTAACAATAACAATAGCATTTTTTGGGGAGGGTATCCATTTCTCTAAAAGTGTGTAACTATCCCTGTTCGTTTTTGTTTTGTTTTATTTGGGGTTTTTGTTAACATTTTGAGACAGGGTCTCACTATATAGTTCAGACTGACTTTTAGCTCACTGTGTAGCCCACACTGGCTTTGCACTCGCAGTGATCCTCATGCTTCAGCTTCCCGAGTGCTGGGATTGCAAGAGTGCACCTCTACACCCATCTAACCCCGTCCATTTTGTCTGTAGATTTTACTGTCCCTCCCCAATGTACTGTGAGCCTTCTCATCTTTAAAAAGTCTTTGTGGCTGTGGTGATGCCCCGAGAGTTTGAGGCTAGCCTGGGCCACATAGTGAGTTCAAGGCCAGCCTGAACTGCATAGCAAGATGCTGTTTCAAAAAAAAAAAAAAAAAAAGTCTTAGGAGATTGTTTCAAATAACTAGTAATATCACATTCTAGATAGCTATACTAAACAGTTCCTTATTGTTGCTTTCAGAGGTTTTGTTTATCTAATATTTTATGTAATTGGTTTTAGCATGTGTGCAAGCTTAGGTCTGCCTATTTTCATCCTGTAGGTGCCCAAAAGTTGGGGTTGATTGAATCATAAATTCTCAGCCTAGTTGGTCTCCAGATCCCCTTAAATTCTAAAAAAAGTATTGAAGCCTCAAAAGAGCTTTCATTTATGCGAGTTATATCTGTAGATATTTGCCAAAATAGGAACTAAAATGAGAAATGTAAAAAAATTTACCTGTTAATTATTTCCAAAACTACTAAGTTCATTATTTCCTACCAGGTTTTATGGGTGATAACTGTAATTTCAAAAAAAAAAGGGTAGGCAAATGAAGCTGTCCTAAACTTCCATGAATCTCTTTAGTGCCTTTACTTAATAAAAGACAACATGGCTATTTCTGAATTCAACTTGTTGGATGCCCTGATCCCCCCACCTTTGGAATGAACCCAGGGCTTCATGCACTGAGCTACATCCCCAGCCTAATGTGTTGTTTTTGATTATGCAGTGATAGCGAACCATTTAGAGCTTTCAGTAATACAGACAGCCCACAGTGGCACATACACCATGGGTTCAACGATCCTGGATTATGGAATACCCACAAACCCTGGCCTCAGATATGTAGTTGGAGAAGAGAACAATAATTTAATATGCTTTTGAGATAGTTATGAATATTTTTGTTTTTATACAGACATTAGCAAATGATATTTTCTTAAAGGTTAATTGCAAGGTAGAATCTGAAATCTTATCAAGGAACTTTTTTAACTGGGCGTGGTGATACACTCCTGTAATCCCAGTACTTGGGAGGCTGAGGCAAGAGGATCTCTGAGTTTGAGGCCAGCCTGAACTACTACATAGTGAGACCCTGTCTCAGAAGAGGGGAAAAAAACTGTCCGCACTTTTATAATCTGCTGGCCTGTTTTGAACTTTAAATGAATCTTCTACTCATGCATGAATTTTTTTGTTGTTGTTTGTTTGTTTGTTTGTTATTGGTGATTGAACCCAGGGCCTTCACACTAAGTTCCATCTCCTCTTTTTTATTTTATTTTGACACAGAATCTCACTAACCCACTAATTTGCCCAGGCTGAGTTTGAATTTGTGATCTTCCTGCCTCAGCCTCCCACAGTGCTGGTATCATAAGCATGTGCTTCCACACACAGACTATATGTGATTTTTATTATCATGCATTGCTCATTTGTAAAATGGTTATGATCTATACAAATCTTCCAAATGTTGTCACCTTCTATTATACAATATTAAAAAAAAATCACATTTGTTAATAGCACCACTGATCTTGTCAGAAGTCTGTGTGATTTGAAGTTGTCAAACTTGTGGTGATGGATATGAGCTTTCTGAGACTTGAATTTTCCCTTGAAAGCTCAAATTTTACTGTTGGCAACAAATGCTACCAGTTGTTTTCCTTGAAGTGACAGGCTCACATCATTTATTTTTGAGAAAATGTCTACCAGTTATCCCAGTCTGAATAATCATACTTTGTTCATTGTTCACTCAGCTAGGAATTGTGTTCCATGCAAAAAGTAGCTAGTTTAACTCTCAAAAAATCAAGTATGTGCTTTCCCCTTAGACAGTTATCATACTTTCATATGCAGTAAATGTCCTTTGTATTTTCTTATTTTAATTAGTGAATATTTTTAAGAGAAAAGTCTTTTTGTTTTTCCTGCACTTGTGTGCTGATGAAGAATACAGTAATTATGAATATAGTTATGTTATACTTATTTACATGTGTACAACATATGTACAAATGTCAATATAAGAGGAAAAGTAAATGTAATCTTGCTCTTTTTATAAAAATAGTTCAATCTTATAGACCCCTGGAAGGGTCTCAGGAACTCCACCAGCCCACTGACCACACTTTGACATCCTCTCACTGCTTGAAATGAGAGTATTTATGTTGTGAAGGATTTCCATCTGTATTAACAAATTACTATCAAAAAGGTTGTACTGATCCTATTACCAGCAGAGCCTGGGAGCGTCTTGTCTGTGCAACTTTTTCCAGCTCTAAGAGGAGTCTCTATTGATCTTTACTATGTTGAATCAGGAATGACATCTTTTAATTAGCATTTTAGAAGTTATACTCGTGCGTTTTTCCAAATGTGTTTTGAACATTTAATTTTCTTCTTGAATACCTTGGATACCTGTCTTCTGCCTAATTTCCACTGGAGTGTTCACTGTTATTTATTGATCTGCCTGTGTTAAAGGTATGGATCCCAAGTGTCATATTTTTACAGATATTACTTTTAAAAATTACTGTTTTTGACATATCTAATTCTTAAATTTATGCATAAATTTTTTTTTGCCTTTCTGTTCAGAATGTCCTGTTCCATCCTAACAGAATTTTTTTTTTTCTAAATCATGTTCTCAGTTTTTAAAACATTCTTATTCTTTTTAATGATTTTGGCTGAAATTTATTTTCAGTGTATGCTGAGAGGCATAGATACATCTTTTTTTTCTCTCCAGCTTAATTTTCCTTTTGTCTTGTGGTTTCTAAAGTAGTTTTACTTCTCTGTGGCTTTTTTC